AAAAGCAATCTAATGATAACTGAAGGAGATAATGGTTGTATCACAGTGCAGTATAGTACGTGATTTTTACAATCATAACCCTTCATCAATAAGACGAGGTTAGGTTTGCCACATTGTAGGAAGAGTAGGGAACATTACCAGTTACTTAGACTCTCCTAAACCTGGCTCTAATCACTGCTCTGACTTACAGGCTGTGTACATTGTTTTATCTCTTTGAGACTGACTCCTCAGTTTTTACTTTTTGATCCCCACAACAGTTCTCTCTCTTCCCTTTGGGTTCTTGTATGGAATGTGAGAACCTGGAATGACCCTATCGTCTCTTCTCTTTGACTGCTTATTTCCTTCAGATTTTAACTCTGATATTATTTTATCGAGGAATTAAGCCTCAATTCATTATGTTAGGTTAGGTACCTTGTTGTGTATGCTTATAGCACATATCCTTAATTGCAATTTTGTATTATTATATGATTGTTTAACAGTTTCTGTCAACAAGTATATATCCAGTGCTTAAAACATCTTTTCTTGGTTTATGAGTTTACTAAGGCAGAGGACTGGGCCTTTAGGTTTTGTTTTTCTTGGCCATTGTGTCCTGAGCACCTAACATATACTTAGATGAGGATGTTCTCAGTGAGTACTTGATGAATGAATAAATAAAAATGGAGATGATATTATCGCCTACCTTACAAGACTGTTGTGAGCCTTCAGTTTAGTTGTGTGTGTGAAGTGCTTAGCTTGCTTGTGGCCTGTTCACAGCAGTCCCCATAATGGCTGACGCGAGACAGTCGGTGTACTGTGCTCACAGAGATTGGTTACCGTGGATGCAGATAGCCCTCAATTCTTATTCCCCCACTGACGAGCCCTGTGACTCCATGTAGGTGCTTAATATCTCAGATTTGCATTTTCTTTATAAATGAGAATAGCAGCACCTGCTTATAGGGTTTTGTAAGGTAATCCAAGTCTATACCCTGACCAGTAATGCTGAAGAAGCTGAAGTTGAATGGTTCTATGAAGACCTACAAGATCTTTTAGAACTAACACCCAAAAAAGATGTCCTTTTCATTATAGGGGACTGGAATGCAAAAGTAGGAAGTTAAGAAACACCTGGAGTAACAGGCAAATTTCACCTTGGAGTACAGAATGAAGCAGGGCAAAGGCTAATAGAGTTTTGCCAAGAAAACGTACTGGTCATAGCAAACGCATTCTTCCAACAACACAACAGAAGACTCTACACATGGACATCACCAGATGGTCAGTACCGAAATCAGATTGATTATATTCTTTGCAGCTGAAGATGGAGAAGCTCTATACAATCAGCAAAAACAAGACCGGGAGCTGAATGTGGCTCAGATCATGAACTCCTTTATGCCGAATTCAGACTTAAATTGAAGAAAGTAGGGAAAAGCACTAGACCATTCAGGTATGACCTAAATCAAATCCCTTACAATTATACAGTGGAAATGAGAAATAGATTGAAGGGGCTAGACAGAGTGCCTGAAGAACTGTGGATATTGTTCATATGGACAGTGTTCATGACCTTGTACAGGAGGCAGGGATCAAGACCATCCCCAAGAAAAAGAAATGCAGAAAGCAACATGGCTGTATGAGGAGGCCTTACAGATAGCTGTGAAAAGAAGAGACACAAAAAAGCAAAGGAGAAAAGGAAAGATACATCCATTTGAATGCAGAGTTCCAAAGAATAGCAAGGAGAGATAAGAAAGCCTTCCTCAGTGATCATGCAAAGAAATAGAGGAAAACAACAGAATGGGAAAGACTAGAGATCTCTTCAAGAAAATTAGAGATACCAAGGGAACATTTCATACAAAGATGGGCTCAATAAAGGACAGAAATGGTAGGGACCTAACAGAAACAGAAGATATTCAGAAGAGGTCGCAAGAATACACAGAAGAACTGTACAAAAAAGATCTTCATGACCCAGATAACCATGTCGGTGTGATCACTCACCTGGAGCCAGACATCCTGGAATGTGAAGTCAAGTGGGCCTTACGAAGTATCACTACAAACAAAGCTAGTGGAGGTGATGGAATCCCAATTGAGCCATTTCAAATCCTAAAAGATGATGCTGTGAAAGTGCTGTACTCAATATGTCAACAAATTTGGAAAACTCAGCAGTGGCCACAGAATTGGAAAAAGTCAGTTTTCATTCCAATCCCAAAGAAAGACAATGCCAAAGAATGTTTAAACTACTGCATAATTGCACTCATCTTACACTGGTAAAGTAATGCTCAAAATTCTCCAAGCCAGGCTTCAACAGTATGTGAACTGTGAACTTCCAGATGTTCAAGGTGGTTTTAGAAAAGGCAGAGGAACCAAGTATCAAATTGCCAACATCAGCTGGATCATTAAAAAAGCAAGAGAGTTCCAGAAAAACATCTATTTTTGTTTTATTGACTATGCCAAAGCCTTTGACTGTATGGATCACTGCAAACTGTGGAAAATTTTTAAAAAGATGGGAATACCACACCACCTGACATGCCTCTTGAGAAATCTGTATGCAGGTCAGGAAGCAACAGTTAGAACTGGACATGGAACAGACTGGTTCCAAATAGGAAAAGGAGTACGTCAAGGCTATATATTGTCACCCTGCTTATTTAACTTATATGCAGAGTACATTATGAGAAATGCTGGGCTGGAAAAAACACAAGCTAGAATCAAGATTGCCGGGAGAAATATCAATAACCTCAGATATGCAGATGATACCACTCTTACGGCAGAAAGTGAAGAAGAACTAAAGAGCCTCTTGATGAAAGTGAAAGGAGAGTAAGAAAGCTGGCTTACAGCTCAACATTCAGAAAACTAAGATCATGGCATCTGGTCCCATCACTTCATGGCAAACAGATGGGGAAACAGTGGCTGACTTTATTTTTTTGGGCTCCAAAATCACTGCAGATGGTGACTACAGCCATGAAATTAAAAGATGCTTACTCCTTGGAAGGAAAGTTATGACCAACCTAGACAGCATATTAAAAAACAGAGGTATTACTTTACCAACAAAGGTCCATCTAGTCAAGGCTATGGTTTTTCCAGTAGTCATGTATGGTTGTGAGAGTTGGACTGTGAAGAAAGCTGAACGCTGAAGAATTGATGGTTTTGAAACTGTGGTGTTGGAGAAGACTCTTGAGAGTCCCTTGGACTGCAAGGAGATCCATCCAGTCTATCTTAAAGGAGATCAGTCCTGGGTGTTCATTGGAAGGACTGATGTTGAAGCTGCAACTCAAATACTTTGGCCACCTGATGCAAAGAGTTGACTCATTTGAAAAGACCCTGATGTTGGGAAAGATTGACGACAGGAGGAGAAGGGGACAACAGAGGATGAGATGGTTGGATGGCATCACCGACTCAATGGACGTGAGTCTGGGTGGACTCCAGGAGTTGGTGAAGGACAGGGAGGCCTGGCGTGCTGCGGTTCATGGGGTCACAAAGAGTTGGACATGAGTGTGTGACTGAATTGAGCTGAACTGAAGGCCTACTTGTGATCATGGCAGTAATTGCTCAATACGTGGTGGTTATACATTGTTTTAATGTTAATGAATAAAGAAATAATTAATGGAATAATTAGGAAGTACCAGATGAAACTTACATTATTGGAAACACTATATTCTTTGATGAGATGATATTTCCATTAGCCCATAATCCCCAGAATATCCAGTATTTTGTAATTATGTCTATGATAGGTTGTACTGTGTTGAGTGCAATTTTGTTTTTAAAAGGACTCTTTGGAGTAAAGGTCTTCCTTGACTTATGATGGGATTAGGTCCTGATATAACACGTCATGAGTTGAAAATATCATTCGTAAATCAAAATATATTTAATACACCTCATCTACCGAATATATCATAGCTCAACCTTGCTTATCTTAAATGTGCTCGGAACATGTACATTAGCCTGCAATCACCTAACAAAAAGTCTATTTTATAATACAGTGGTGAATCTCATGTAATTTATTGAATACTGAAAGTAAAAATCAACATGGTTGTCTGGGTGTATGGCTGTCAGTGTATCTGGTTGTTTACCTTCATGACTCTGTGGCTGACTGGGAGCTGTGGCCTGCTTCTGCTGCCTGGCATCTTGAGAAAGTACTGTGCCACATGTTACTAACCTAGGAAAAGGTGAAAATTCAAAATTTGAAGTACCATTTCTACTGAACGTATTGCTTTTGCACCATCATAGAGTTGAAAACTTGTTAAGTGGAACTGTTGTTAAGTTGGTGACCATCTGTATAGTGATTGCATATTCTTGAACAGTTGAATTATATTAAGTCCTAAACCTTCTAAATTTGAAAGTGCGTTAGAATGCCCCATCATTTATGTATAAAATGTCACAGTAAACAAGTGACAATATTGTAAATCAGCCAGAATTTTTGGCCCACTGTGTGTTCCTGGGTGAAGTTTGAGCGTCGTGGATGCTCTTCTGAACAGAAGCTCCCAGTCCTTTCTGCCTGCAGTCACGAGCGTCCCCTGTGCTTCAGTGCCTCACCAGCCTGTCCTGTGAGAGCACATTTACAGTTGACTCTTAAGACATGTGGGTTTGGACTGACTGCTCAGGTCCACTTTGATGTGGAATTTTTTTAATAGATCCATACTGTGTGTTACACCATTTGAGACTGGTTTAATCAGCAGATTCAGAACTGTGGATCCAGAGGGCCACCTGTAAAGTTACCTGTGGATTTTTGACTGCATGGTCGGAGGAGGGGGGTGGGTGGTCAGCGCCCTTAACCCATGTGTTGTTCAAGCATCAGTTGTACAGTGAAAAGGACATTTACATACTTAATTTCCATATTTTAAAAATTCATTTGCTAGCATTTGGTGTTTTAAACTATTTACAGTAAAATGGTCTAAGCCACCATGTCATCTTGGCTCCATGCCCCTGAGTCTTGGCTTTCATCAGGAAGTATTTGTTTTATGTAATCGTTTGTATGCATATAAATGCTTGTGGAGAAAGATGGAAAACTTCTTGTGATTGGTGGTACACCTTTATTCCAGGCTCAGCAAAACAGTCCCTCATCTACGGGATCTGGCAACACAGAGCATTCCTGCAGCTCCCAAAAACAGATCTCCATCCAACACAGACAGACCCAGGTAGGTCAGTGGTTGATAAACAGGGAGGGAAAGAACTGCTTCGGAGTAAATGGTAACACTACATGTAAAATCTGGGTCTTCTCTCTCCCTTTATCTCTCTGACTTCATCTCATTTATTTGTGTGTGTTGTATTCAGAACTTGCATTATGAATATTTCAAGTCTTTTGGAAGGTGCTTTTAACTTTTTGAGGTGTTTCTTTGCCTTTCTGATGTATTCAGAAAGATTATAGACAGAAATGATTATATTGCAGCATGGTGTTAAGGAAAAAGCACTTGTTTTAGAGAACTCAAGACCCCGATTCAGGTTCTAGCTCTGCAACTTATGCTTTATCTTTTGGGGCCTCAGTTTTCTTCAGTTCAAATTATCTATAAAATGTGGTTGATTATCATCATCTTAGTGTCTACAAAACACTCGTTGGCACAGTACTTACGGTAGGCATCAGTGAATCTTTTTTATTGAAATATAGTTGATTTAGTATATTGTGTTAATTTCACATGGATAGCAAAGTGATTGGTTATACATATATATATATATGTATGTGTCTATATTCTTTTTTTTTTCTGATTCTTTTTCCATTATGTTTTGTTACAAACTATTGAATATAGTTCCGTGCAATACACAGTAAACCCTTGTTGTTTTAAACTTCTTTAACATGTCGCACACCAACATAATTCTTCCTTAAACAGTCTTCAGAAACTCCTTAATTTAGGGAATTGTTGTGAATATTCAAAGATAATATCTGCGAAAAGGATAATGGATATATCCTCTATTTTGTTGTGTTGAGCTCACCAAATATTATACCTTGTTTTCTTGAAGCTGTTGGTACCTTGTTGCCTTCAAGACAGGATGCCTGGCAATCTGGGAGAATTTCTTAAGTCACAAGAGCTAAACAGCCCTCAGGAGCAGATTTTAAAGTTATTTGAATTAAACTTTTGAATAGTTGAACAGACTTAGGTAGTTGAGCATTCATCTCTCTTCTGGTCGCTCTGTCTCCACTAGGTGGCATGTTTGTTCTTTAGAGATTCGTGTCCTTTCTCCTCTGATGACCTTTTCTATTCAAAGTTAGTTTCATTTCTAGAGAGTATGTTTCTGTACTGTTCAGTGCACAGTATTTTGAGAATTCATATATTTTATCCCAGAGTTAATATATTTTTGAAAGGCAAGTATAGCAGAACGTAATGCTTAAAGAATGAGATGAGAAAGGCAGATTTAATTTCTTGAGCCATGGGATTCCAGGCTAGTTGTATCATCAAGTGCTTTTTTTTTTCAGAAAAGTAATGAGAAAAATGTGATGACATGTAATATTTTGAGACTAATCCTAAGTTTGTTTTCTGCTTATCTCTGTAGTCTGACCTCACAATAGAAAAAATATCTGCACTAGAAAACAGTAAGAATTCTGACTTAGAGAAGAAGGAAGGAAGAATAGATGATTTGTTAAGAGTAAGTATTAAAATGTCATAAGAGATTTTATAACAAGCTCTGATTGATTTATCTATATTTATATGTGTGAATTGCATGTATATCATAGAGATAATTACTGTAACCAAATAATAAAGTTAAAATGTGGACATTTGGATATTTTCCTTTAATCTGAGGGAATCTGAGTAGGTAACGAGGATCAAACTGTATTCCAAACAGTATCATTACATTGGACATCTTAATTGTAGAATTTTAATATTTAAATATATACTAGAGAAATATATCTGTGGAGAGTTGAAGGTGTGAGAATATGTATAGAGTGTTGTTTTACCATCTCAGTGAAATTTTTTTTAATGTCTTTGAATTTTTAAAAATTTTATTGATTTTTTTAAATTGGAATATAATGGCTGTGTTGTATTAGTTTCTGCTGTACAGTGAGGTGAGTCAGCTGTATGCATACACGTATCCCTTCCCTCTTGGACCTCCCCCGCACCCCTCTTGGTCATCACAGAACACCGAGCTGAGCTTCCTGTGCTCCGTAGCAGCTTCCCGTTAGCAGTCTGTTTTACACATGGTACTGCATACGTGTCAGTCCCAGTCTCCCAGTTTGCCTCACCCTCCCGTTCTCCTCCTCAACCCCCACGCCCCACCCCCGTCCACGTATCCATTCTCCATGTCTGTGTCTCTGTTCCTGCTGGAAATAGGTTCATCGCTACCATTTTTCTAGATTCCACATGTATGTGTATTTGAATTTTAAAGACTATTTCACAAGTACTTTTCAGTCCTGGTTTTGCGTTTTATATCTTTTATAACCTATTCATCTGAAGTATTTTGTGCTTACAAGAGAAACTTTAAAAGTAGCTATATGGAGTTAAAAATATACCTCTAGAGAATATACAATTTTTTTTTAAATTTTAATTTTATTGGAGTATAGTTGATTTACATTGTTATGTTTCAGATGTATAGCAAAATAATTCAGTTATACATATATTCATTCTTTTTTAGATTCTTTTCTCATATAGATTATCACAGAATACTGAGTAGAGTTCCTTGTGCTATACAGTAATACCATGATATTTTCTGAAATAATTTTTTAATATACAGTTTGACATATTGACTGACCCTTTTAAAAAAATTTTTAAGGTTTATTGTTTTCTTATTGTAAAAATCAATACATTCTTTATAATAAATTTAGAGAATAGTAAAAAAAAAATAAAATGACACCCATAATTCCATTAACTGATTAAAACATTTGGTATATTTACCATAGTAATTTTTGACCTATTTATAGCATATATAAAATTTTTTAAAGAAATTGTTGATTTATTTTTATTTTTTGGCCACATTAGGCAGCATACAGGATCACAGTTCCCCAGTCAGGGATTCCCATGTAGTGGAAGCACGAAGTCTTAACTGTTGCACTGCCAGCGAAGTCCTTGTAGCATGTACATAAACGCATCTATACGTAAATACTACCAATTTGTAAATAAAATTGGCTAACATTTTAATCTCCAGTGTTTTTATTGTTCTCAAGCTGATGTCCCCTTTCCTATTCAGAAACATTTTTCTTAGGCCTCATGGTTTTGTTTCTTAGTTTGCTTTTCTCCATCCTTCAGTGAGAAGAGCCATGTTTAGACTCAGTACCTATTTTCCATCTTTCATTGTTAGCATGTATACTTGCTTGGTGTTCCTCTTAACGTCTCTTCTTTTCACTTGGGTGCTCGTTGAATTGCCAAGGTTTATAATTAGATATTGTGTGTTCATAGAAATCCTAGTCTAGTTGTCTAATCTAAACAAAAAAATTTTGTCCAGGGTAGCTCTGCTGAACTAAAAAAGGATCATGGGCTTGTCTTCTTCCTTCATCATGTGATTTTCTTAAGATTGAGAAGATGGAGTATGTGAAAAACTGACCCTAACTTAGGATTCTTTTTGGGGGTTTAAAAAAAAATGGTTTTATTTCCCAGGAAGCGGTATGTCTCTTTACCAATTCCCGTCTTTCTAATCCCTTGTTTTCTAAAGATTGTAGTCTTTCTTTGGATCTAGAACAGTGCCAATGGAATGGTTATGTCAAAAAAGAAAACACAAAGGAGAGATGCCATTTTTTCAAATTGATGAGAGCTTGTGTTTCTGATTTGGAGGGACAGGGGAATGACCACTACTCCTTATGTCTCTTCAGACAGGCATGGACCATTGATTGAGTTTTTCCATTTTAGTTAAATGTTTGGGTAAGGCTGCATCAGGAGCTGCTAGTCAGGTGCTATTTGAAACCTGAACACAAAATCATTAGTGTTGGAAACCACAAAAATTTAGAGTTCTTGTAATTTAAAATAAACTGCCAGAGATTGATTGATTCCATAAATTTGATTACAGATTTTAAGAGATGTTCACCTTCCAAAAGTAGATTGAACTTCATATATACACATTACATGATCTTTGGCTTGCAGATATTTTAAGTATGAATTAGTCATACTTAACCAAATGTCCTTGTACTTGGCCTTTGATAATGTGGTCCATAGAACTCATGAGCTCTCTTAGAAGAACTAATAGGAAGAAATTATGAGGAAAGTAGATACTTGGAGATGGAAACTGTTGCACAATAGTCACTTTAAAATGAAGTTTCAAAGTCTCAAAAATTGAGTGTGCTATAGTATCATTTATTTGCCAAAAGAGTAGATAACTTTTGTTTAACACAAGAGTAAACTCAGGAGTTGCAAGTCAAAATTGACCTGGGGTTAGTGGTTCTTCGCTTCTCTGTTATTGTAGGAGTCTTGAATTTTTCAAAGTATTTAGCCCACCCTTCTGACCACAGCTAAATCAACTGTGTATTTACATTCTGGTTTTCTTGAACCAAGACCTTGTATTCAGCTTGTTTGTTAGTTCTGTCTTATGTGGGCATGGGTGTGCCTGGTTTCTCTGGTAAGAAACATTTATGTAAATCCATGTCTCTTCTTTGGAAGGAAGAACAGAAGAGCAACAATTGAACATAAAGAACATTATGTGTTGTTTTTTTGGTAGTGTTTATTCACTGTTTGTAAGTATTTAATCTATAAATGCTTAAAAGTGTTATTTATATGAATTCTAACCATCTCCTTCATGATAGATTTTTTCTTTTATTTTGTGACAGTATTAGCATGTGTGGGGTACTGGATTTATCTGTAACTGGCTTTGGGGAGGAGTAAGATATGACTCTTGCCTGGAAAATCCCATGGATGGAGGAGCCTAGTAGGCTGCAGTCCATGGGGTCGCTAAGAGTCAGACACGACTGAGCGACTTCGCTTTCATTTTTCACTTTCATGCATTGGAGAAGGAAATGGCAACCCACTCCAGTATTCTTGCCTGGAGAATCCCAGGTACAGGGGAGCCTGGTGGGCTGCCGTCTATGGGGTCGCACAGAGTCGGACACGACTGAAGTGACTTAGCAGTAGCAGCAGCAAAGTATGACCAGTAGAAAAACATCCTACTTCAAGTAAGAGAATTCATCTTTAATAGTGATAAGTTTATTAAAAGAAAATCAAGGAACAAAGTATTTACCTTCTTTTTTAAAAGACATAATTACTCTTACCTCTTTAAATCTCAGTTTTGCTTATAATTTAACAAAAGAAATGCTTTTCAGACTCCCTAGAAACTGCTTTTGAATTAATCTGTCTTCCTTGGAGCTAATTAAAAAATTTTTTTTCCATTGAAGGCCAACTGTGATTTGAGACGGCAGATTGATGAACAGCAAAAGATGTTAGAGAAATACAAAGAACGATTAAATCGATGTGTGACAATGAGCAAGAAGCTCCTTATAGAAAAGGTAAGTGATTAGTAGTGGCCTCAACTCTGTATCCCAAGATGCTTAGGGTGTGCCATTGTTGTGACTTGTTAACTTTTTACCTGAAATGAAAGTATTTCAAAGTAGGAAAGGACTGACCACAGCTTAGTTCTCTGTTTTATGTGGGCATGGGTGTGCCTGGCTTCTCTGGTAAGAAACATTTATGTAAATCCATGTCTCTGGAAAGAAGAATGAAAAACCAACAAAGGGCTTTTGGGGTTAGGAAAGGGCTACTGGGGTTGCCGTAGTGTTAAAGACCCCAACTGCCAAATGCCAATGCAGAAGACTCAAGAGGTTTGATCCCTGGATTGGGAAGATCCCCTGGAGTAGGAAATGGCAACCTACTTCAGTATTCTTGCCTGGAAAATTCCATGGGCAGAGGAGCCTGGTGGGCAATAGTCTATGGGACTGCAAAGAGGCAGACATGATTGAGTGACTGAGTGCACAGCACATCCTATTACTAATACAGACATTTAGCAATAGTTTTATGTCCATTTCAGATTATTTTCTATTTGTCCTTTTCCCCTAAGTCAAAACAAGAGAAGATGGCATGTAGAGATAAAAGCATGCAAGATCGCTTGAGACTGGGCCACTTTACCACTGTCCGACACGGGGCTTCGTTTACTGAACAGTGGACAGATGGTTATGCTTTCCAGAACCTTATCAAGTAAGTGAATTGTGATGATAAAGTTGAGAATTGAAAAATTGGTTTGGATTTTTAAATTTTTTTTCTAATTGTAGTCATTAATATGTTAGTAGTGGTAGTCTTCTTTTCATTCAGTGTCTCCATTTTCATTTGTCTCCACATGTGTAAAGAATTGTAGGGAATGAATAAAGTCCTGAAAAAAATGGCAAATAATCAGAGGAATAAAAAACAAATTCTATATTAAAGCTTAAAAAATCAGAATTGCCAAAACTAAGGAAGAAAAAGCCAAGACTTGACTTGATATTATTTTAATTATGTAATAAATTTTCATGAGGAGTCTGCCCACTTCCAGCATTTATTCTGGGTCCCCAGAAGATTGAAATAGGCAAAGACCCAAGGAAGGATTTCCTGAGTTTGGTATAAAACAAAGCCCTGGAAGAATGTACAGGACATGTTCCTGGGACTCTTTAAGGGGAGAGTATTCAGTCAGCAGAGATAGTCACCTTCTTCAAGGGGGGCACTGAGTCAGCAATCAGGCTGGTGAGCAGCCCCTCTGCCTGTGCCTGTCAGCAACTTGGAATCTTGAGCCCTCCTTCACTTTATTATAACTTTGGTTTAAAGCATTCATTTACTCAAAGGAGGGAATTAACATTTAAAATCCTAAAATTCCAACTGCATAAATAGCTAATATCAGCTCAGGACTTTAAAAAAGAAATCTTAAAAGTTGCGATACCTTTTGATGTGTCTTACTTATTTTGATTTTGTAGATCATTTCTGTTTGAGACTGGATTGCGGTGGGTGGCACATTGTATTTTTAATTATAGGCTCTCACACTTCTGATCTGTAGTTTACTGTAGGTTCAGGGGTTCCATAGACTTATCCTACCTTTTTTTTTCTTGGTTAAATAACGTTTTGGGCATTGATTGGATAGGATAGAACTACTTTTGAATACCAATGAAACATAAGTAACAAATTTGTCTGAAAGAAAAGTACAGACACTGATATTATTAATAATATTTTGTTAATGGGAATTCCTTGGCAGTCTTGTGGTGAGGACTCAGTGCTTTCACTGCCAGAGCCCAGGTTTGATCCCTGGTTGGGGAACGAAGATCCTGCAAGCTGCCCATGTGGCATGGCCAAACTAAAACAAACAGACAAACTTTGTGGAGAGTAGTCTGGATGATAGGCTGTGCTTTATGAGTGATACATGTGGTATCCACGCTGAGCTCTCTATGCTCAGCTGGTGGCTCAGGTTAACAGAGGTGCACTAGGGCAGGACAAACCGCTGCTGCATAGAGGCATGATGTCTGTTCCTCAGCACCCTGACCGTGATGAGCACAGTGCCCTGGAAGTGGCTCTCCATCCAGTTTTGTCAGAATGGGACGGAAGAGAAACATCCCTCACGATTGGCCGAAGTCGCTTAATGCTCGCACTGAGTCCCAGATGTGGTAATGACTCCTCCTAGTCCATGACAAGGTTACTCCTCCGATGGCAGTTTTTAAAACGTCCAAAGACCTAAACCTAGTGGTTAGTGGATTTGTTTAGAGATATAAAATGTAATTACTTTTAAGACGTGATTGTAGTTTTTGCTGATAGTAGCAAATATTTATCTTTTTACTCTATAAACAGCCTGTTGCCCAGAAGGTTCTGGAAATCGTATATAGTTAAGAGTACAAAAGGATGACTTTGCCCTAGAGCCATCGGACCAGTGAATTTGGTATTATCTACATGAGATCCCTAACCAGAGCAGTTTCTCCAAAGTAGATAGTATTTTTTTTTTATGATTTTAAGTAATATAAATTGCAGACTATCCATCTCTCCTCTTGGGAAGCTGTTTCTGGCTGATACCTTTTTTTATTTGCTTGTTTGTTTTTTGGCCACACTGCATAGCTTGTGGGATGTTAGTTCCCTGACTAAGAACTGAACCTCGGCAGTGAAAGTGCTGAGTCTTAACCACTGGACCACCAGGAAAGTCCCCTGGCTGATATCTATTAATTTTAGGTATTTTAATAATATCTTCTAAAGTTGTGCTTTAATAAACCAATTTCCTTTCTTAATTTTAATGCAGAATTGAAGTTCTTTAGTTGTAGAAGGCTGTAGCTGATATCCTTACAAATGATAATTATCTGTGTATAAGAAGCTCCATGACACATAATTTGGTGGGTAAGGTACCTGAACACCAGGTTGCAGTACTAGTTTTTATAGAAAGAGCAAACCTCTTGACATTAAAAATTTAATCAAGTGATCAAATATAGTCTCAACAGGAGCCTCAACACAGTTCTTTTGTTCTCAGTTTGTACCTCGGCTCTGTTTTGAGTGATCTTTTTAAGATCCTAAAACAGATTTGTTGTCTAATAAAAAGATCATAACAGATTTGTAATGATTTTTGACCAAGTTAGTAAGTTTTTCTAAAAGGTATTTTTGAACCTGTTGAAAAAGTAACATATTTTATAGTTCTGAGAAGTTAGTTAAAATAAATGCTGTTGTTATTCAGTATGTAACTTTTTTATTTAAACAAGTGTTAAAGTCTCAAATAGTCAATGGCAAGGCAGTAAAAAAATTATTATTAAGATTTTCTTTATATTGACATAAACAACATTAAAGTAAATATGGGGATTTGACCTGTATACAAAACTGGCTGTTTAAGATGTGGATCATCAGAGGGAGTAAATGAAATTTTACAGCATCATTGTCCTAGTCCATGAATATATTCTGGTGTATAAGGAATTATAGAATTCCGTTTTAAAGTGATTTCATGTGAACCATCTGATTCTTGGCATATGACCCATAATAAGTGATAAAGCCTTTTTTGTTTTAATTTTTCTACTGGAGTATAGTTGATTTACAGTATTACAGATGTACAGCAGAGTGAATCAGTTATAGTTATATATATGCATTTGTTTTCAGATTCTTTTCCATTGTGGATTATTGCAAGATATTTACTGTAATTCCCGGTGCTATACTGTAGGTTCTTGTTGTTTATCTATTTTATATATAGTAGTGTGTATCTGTTAACCTCAAATTCCAAATTTATCCCCCCTATCCTTCCCCTTTGCTAGCCATAAGTTTGTTTTCTATGTCTGTAAGTCTATTTCTGTTTTGTAAATAAGTTCATTTGTATCATTTTTTAAAAAATTCCACATACAAGTGATATCATATGATATTTAGAGAGACAGCTCTGTTTAAGTATCAGTTCTCCCTTGGGTGGTATATACCAGTTTCCAGTAGACACAGAACATGAAATCCTGGGACTCTTTAAAAATTCTTACCTGGAATATTCAGGAACTATCTGTAGATCACCACTAAAATTACTTTGGTCAAAATAATATCTGCAAATAATGTGCATTTATTTGTTTTTTTAACGCCTGTTCTAGTTATGATACGGTTTTGCTATGAAGGGTACATGCAATCATTTCCTGGGCTTCCCTGGTGGCTCAGAAGGTTAAGAATCTGCCTGCAATGCAGGAGACTTGGGTTCAATTCTCTGGAGAAGGTAATGGCTTCCCACTCCAGTGTTCTTCCATGGAGAATTCCATGGACAGAGGACCCTGGCTGACTGCAGTCCATGGGGTGGCAAAGAGTTGAACAGGATTGAGCAACTAACACTTTCACTTTCATAATCATTTCCTAGGGCTACCATCACTAAATACCATAAACTGGGTGGTTTTAAACAACATAAATTTAATTATCTCACAGTTTAGGAAGTCAGAAACCTTAAATCAAGGTGTTGGCGGGGCCGCTCCTTCTGTGGCCTCTAGGGAGGATCCTTGTTTAGTGTTCAGTGGCTTGCAGCAGCATAGTTCACTCTGCCTCCGGTTTCACATGGTGTTCACCTGCGTGTCTTCTTTTCTCAGGAGGACACCAGTCAAATTGGGTTAAGGGCCCACCCTACTCCAGTATGACCTTATTTTAACAAATTAAATCTTCAGTGACCCTATTTCCAAAGGTTATAATCTGAGGTACTGGGGATTAGCACTTTAACATGTCTTTTTGGGTGGCACAGTTCAACTGATAATGGTACCTAAGACTGATTGTCTTGTTATTATAACTGACAAATAATGGCTTGCTGTTTATTTATTTGGCTGCACTGGTTCTTCATTGTGGCATGTGGAATCTATTGTAGTTCCTTGACCAGGGATTGAACCCAGGCCCCCTGCATTGGGAGCTCGGAGTCTTAGCCACTAGGTTACTAGGAAAGTCTCAATAATGACTTTTTAGAGTTACTTAGATTTGAGTGAGATAAATTTATCGGGTCATCATTACTTTTGTAAAAGATAGTAGAAATATTCTTTCTGTGGGTGGTAAAGGGTGAGCATTCCCTAAAATTGATGAAATGGAAGAAACATTTAACAGTCAGGTCTATAAAAGGCACTGTGAAGAGAACAAGATGGCAGAGGAGTAGGTGGACATGGAGTACATCTGTCTCCACAGATACATCAGGAATACACCTTCAGACACAGAAGTGCATGCAGAATACCAGGAGCAGACAGGAGGGCCTGACCAGAGGAAAAGAATATATAGAACCATGCAAAACTCGGTAGGATGAAGGAACTAGGGGGAAAAACAAGTGTTAGTGGGACTGGACCTGCCCTCTGCTGGTGGGGGAACTGAAGCAGGAGTCTGATCCCCACATTGGGGCAGTTGTCTGAGTCAGAGGAGAAACATTTATGGCTGAGAGTGAAACAGCTGATCTGTAGCAGCATAAATGGAATGAGAATCAGACAGTCCTTGCCACAGCCATACATATCCTGGACAGGGACGTGGGTCCCCTGGAAGGCACAGCAGCCGGGAGCTGGAGTTTAGGGGTTGTGGAGCAATTCCAGGGCGGGGGCTGCTGTTGACTGTGGAGAGACAGATTTGAAGGGATGTGGGGGAGGAGATTGTGGTGGGAAATGCCTATGGGGGAAAGCCGTGCAGCCATGGAAGCAAGGTGATGCTCTTGAGTCATGAGTAGTGGATGGAGCCATCACCATAGCCTCTCTCCCCACATGCCAGCATCAGCAGCTGAACAACAGGCTGGC